AACAGTTTAAAACCATACAGTTTTTATGTGATGGAGTCTAGGGTTTCCAGTGATAGCACCTGTAAAATCAATAGGGTTTTTTTAGGGTAGAAAAAGAAGCAAACCGAAAAGAAAACACAGTGGGAAAGATTGCCAAAAGACAATAGATTCCAATTTTAAGTATGCGCAGATATAGATCTTGGCGAAGTTCTATTCCATTACGTAATTTTTTGCGACAAAGAAAATAGGGATCCATCGAATAATATTTATTGCCTTTCCCTCGATGAAATTTCCTAAGATTTGCTGGACCGTTAAATATATTTGTGCCCTTCCTAGTGGCTGTTGATTAAAAAAGAATCATAAGACCGAATTTGATAGAAGAAGAAAACACGAAATTGCAAATAGCGGGGAAACAACCTTGGAAACTCCTGTTTTTTTCGGCTTTTAAATGATCGGCAGGAAACAATTCACAAATTGTGAAACTTTTGAGAGATTTCACTGAAGGAAATTGAAAAAAATCAAAGGGAAAGCCAAATTGTCACTGGCGAGCGCCACCCTTCTTGGAGCCCTAGCTTAATAACGAAAATCATTTTATTAATATTCACTACAGCAAATGATATTCCGCACCTTTCTTATCACCTTTTGATGACTTTTAGTGGCCTTGAAAAACCAAAAGATCAAAATTTTCTAGAAAAACATGACTCTGGCGCGCGCGCCAAAATCGAGCAAAAACCTCTTGGAGCCTCCTAAAGCGAGATACTTCTGTAGCAGAAAACCGATTACTCTTCCCAGAGAGAGGGGCTTTACCGTTTTGTTTACGTTGTAAGCAATTTAAAGCTTTTTCCTACAACAATTGGTAACCAATATCATATACTGTTTGCTAACCTGCAGACAGTATATGATATTAGGCCCCGGTAGTTCGAAGGGTGAATAACGCCATCTTCTGGACAACTATCTATCCGGTGGACCGCCCTCTACGTTTTTGTTAACACTTATCCGCTGCCGGGATAGCGATTTATCCGTTAGATAACGTTATGTTCCAGAGGTACCCATCTTTGCATAAGAATCGATGTGCATGATACCTTATCACGTCATTTTTCTTCATTTCACTTCATTGATTTCGGAAGTCAACCTGCCGTCTAAAAAAACGAAAGCGTAAAATAGATTCTACAGAGTTTTATGTTACCTGAACTTGTGTTTGAGAAAGCCAAAATTATTAGAGCCGTTATAACAGTTTCTTGGCAGGCCATAACAAATCTCCGCGAAGGCAAAAGACTCAAGCATGCATTCCTCCTCCTTCCCTCAGCATTTTTGTAATTTAGAGTGGATCGATCAAATGGTTGGCAAAAAACTGACAGATAGTCGGAAAGCGAAATTCAATCAAACTAAATCTGCATTTCAGACTAATTATCTGACGCATATAGTTTCCGATAACAATTCTCAACAATCCTTCGCTGGGTCACCGATGGGTCTCAATGTGGTTGATAAGGTGAAAATCTTAACTACTCTAACCAAGGGCTGGCCTTGGCAGTGATTATTCAATCTGGACTACAAACAAGCGCGAGCCCTCCTGAAAGACTCTTTAACCGTTAATTATGAAAATTACAATTTCCTCGATTGTGATTAATTTGAAAAACTCCTTTTTTCCACTAATTCGCTTGCCAAGTTGTTATCAGACAGTTTACTATCGGATAGTTCAATAAGCCAATCACGTTCAAAGTTGTAGTTTAAATCAACTAAACATGCAACTTTTCTCTTTCTTTCATAACTTAGCAATTCTTCTTTTCTCGGAAATTGTAATTTTTATAATTAATTGGTAATGAGACTTCGTGTCGTCCAATTCAGTCTGTAATCATTCTCATGATGAACAAATCGGACTCCCGCTACGCAACGTCCGATTTGGTCACCACTCGTTTGATTACAAATCGAATTGGACCCCCTTACTCCTATCACCATTCATTAAATGGCGATTTTTTTACCCACAATTCTATTTCTCGTCTTAATTTTATACCCCCATCCTATCTACAAAAAAGCCCTCTCCATATTGGTACCAAAACATTCGTTATGTGCGCTCAGACCAGTAAATATTTTTACGCCAAGAGGCGTTTTGGTTGTCGTTGTTAATGGTCACGAAATACAACGTGTAAACGGCAGGCTCCTCGGAACTATTGTCCAGAGCTCCATAACGTAGTGTATTGAGGATTAAGTAAAATGGCGTTAACTTTTAATCAAGACAGACATCATCTTAATGCAGTGGAGCTGATGAGCCACGAGTAGGCCGTCATTATTATTGCTTCAGTAGGACGTTTCTTCACTCACGAATACGTTTGAGGCCATGAGCAAGGCACGCGAGCCGGTGAGAAGTCTCCTAGCGGCGTACACTCATGATGAGCCAGCTCCCTCGCAGCTTTCTCCTGGCTCGGGTCAGAGAACGCTCGTACCACAAAGCTAATGAAGGTATAGATGACGTCATACGTTTTTTTCTTTTCGTTATTGCCTGAGATTTACATTGGAAGGCTCACTCGTGTCAAAAATTAACTACTAGTGCAATGATTTCCCAAACTCTATTATCATAACACGATTTTAATGAATTTTTTTAGGAAAGTTTCCCGAGTTTTCGTTAGTTGATGGGTTTACTCATAGGAACATAAAAAAAAAAAAAATTAATACTCAAACAAATTGTTACAAAACAATTCATAAGTACATCATTAACACATCATAAAGTGCCCACCACTAAGACCACTAATTCTTCATTAGCAAACACAAGGGAACCGTTCAATACCTTAGACCGGCGCGTTATTTAACGAAGCTTAACAAAACGCAATAAACTTTAGCTGACAGAATGAAATTTACACCTGGGAAAACCTGTCGCTACCAGCTCTATTTGTTGACAAATGGGCCCAGATGTTAATTTTTTCCCCTTCGGGACTCTTAACTTTTCTCGCAGACTTTGTGCCAAAAAGGAAAAGACTTGAAAAGTTTTTTTAGCTTGCGACGAACAGCCAAATTTGTGAAAAGTGCCACTAAATGCGCTAGCTTTTTAAAGTTACTCAAAATCTTTTGCCGACTGCAACACGTCAAAAAAGCTGTTGTCAAGGATATTAATCACAAATTGAAAACGATACGTAACAGGAATTCTGACTTCGTAAAGCACAGTCTTTTGTTTTTGTTTTAAAGTAACGAATATGTTGAAATTTCTCTCTAAACGACATAACTAACCCGAAAATTTTGAAACTATACAATTAAGTGTTAATTATAATAGAAATCCTATTTTAAAAGATGCTCGAGTTTAAGTCAGTAAGAACCTTTCCCAGATAGGAATGAAAACTTGCTCTGGTAATTGACTTAGTTTTATATCTCGTGTTTTTCAAGAGCGATAAGACTGAGTTATCCATTGACACTTCAAAAGTGCTTGATGGCACTGTCATCGTCCTAATTCTGTCCCTTGATCAAGCACCCCTAAATGCAGATCACACGTAGAGATTATTTCAACCAAAATAGTTCCCTTCTTCTAACCTTCTTTAATCAATTTTATCATCCATAAATTAAATCATTATCTAACTCACACAGTTATGGTGCCTATCAATGTTAAAATCATTACAACTGTAAACGACATTTCTTGACCTTTCTATCTCAGTCCATGATGAATAATGTCAGAATTAGTTTTGTGAAGTTTACTACGAGTGTTTATAACAACTTTAAATTATTACAATCGCTTCATTTGCCCTCATTTTGATTGAAGCCGTTATCACTCTCTGTGTTATAGTATTGATCTTTTAAAGCACTGCGTATACTACAGACATCTCTGGTATGATATGGTATGAGGAAAAGCAAGTCGCTACTAATGTAAAGTGTTCTCTGGTGTTATATTCATTCAGAAGAGCTCGATGAGAACGGAAATAGAATAATTAGAATAACATGTGTAATATTATTTGGGTCACCGACGTAGAATTAAAGCTTGCAGTTCGCAGCAATATCGTACGAGAAATGATATCTCAATTCCATATATCATTTAGCACTACGCTGTGGCCATATGGTTGGAGCCAAGTACGGTGTTGAATGGATTAAGTGGCCGGCAGTCAAAAATTATTTTAACATTTTCATAGATGTTCTTTTGAACTTCTTGAGGGTATCAAAGTTAAGTGATG